TCCCATCTGCAAATTTAAGATTCCAATATCAACCAAAATAGCGTTGTTTAAAGAACAAATGAGATCATTTGTGGAAAGCGTTTTATAAACTGAAAGGTGCTACACGCATAAGATGCAGGCCGCTCTGGAACTGTGCATTAAAAAAAGCACAATTAAAGAAATCCAGCTCCATCTCAGTGGCTTTGCCTCTTGCTTAAGAGGATTAAAACACCTAAAAAGAGCTACATGCCAATCAATGGTCAATTTGAGACAAATTATTAATTGGACAGCAATCACATCCTCATCAGGCTGCATCAGCCCATCCCCATGCCCCCACCCCCAACAAACCCTCGCTCAACCCTTGCACTTCTGGCTGGGAGAATGGAGGAAAGAATTCTATTGGAGGTTCTGGAGGCTTCGAGCCCCCAAGGAAGTGGGAATATAGCTGTCATTTTCAGTACCTCTTATTTAGGGATATAGTTCCTTTCCCCTTCTTTGTACTTATGCTACTGTTTGTAGCGTAAAGGACCCTAGGCGCTCCATTATGCATGAAGTCTCAGGTAGAGATCCTTTCCAACCCTCCCTCTCCTCCAGTCATTCATTCCACAAAAAGGTTTCTGAGGGGCCTGCCTGGTGGCACAAGGTGTTAAGTCGCAGCACTACGAAGCTATCCGCAACCACTGCAGCATGAGTTTGATCCCTGGCCAGGGAGGTGACCCACATGGCGCAGCAGACCTCTCTCGTCTCACCCACCTGCTGCTCCCCCCTCAGCAGCGGATTTCAGTCAATCCACCTGTTCTGCTCCCCACTCTGTCTCTGGTGAATCCTCTCATACACACACACCCAAACCTCTGGCTTGTACCCCAGTTCTTGCATGCATAAATAAATAAATCTTTAAAAAAAATAGGTTTCTGAGCATCTACTACATGCCAGGCACTTCCCAGGGCCCCCAGGATGGGACAGTAAGCCAGAGAGGGGAAGTTCCTGGAGCTCACCTACCAGAGAGGGAGGCGGGTGTCAAATGTGACACATGAGTAAGATGGTTTCAGATCAAAACCAGTTCCAGGAAGACATCTGACCAGTGGTATTGCAGAAAGTGGCAGGGGTAGGAAAGGAGAGGAGAGGATGTCAGAGGGCACAGAGAAGCCCTTGCTAGTGAGGTACATTTGAGATGAGATTCAAATGATGGAAAGAACTCAGCCAGGCAAGTACGCTTCCTCAGCAGTGGAAAGCGCAAGTGCAAAGGCCCTGAGACAGAAACAAGTATGCTCTACTTGAGGAAGCAGAGGAAGCCAAATGGTCCAAAGGTCAGGTCAAGGAGAAAATTGAAGAGATCAGGTCAAAGAGGCCAAGTCAAGGACATGGAAGGAAAATGAAGTCTCAAGAATGAACAGCCCACAGCTAATTACACCTACAGCTCATGCTAGAAATAAATTCTTTTGTTCCCAAATCCAGAGATTTTAAAGCCATATTGACTGGCTTGCCTCAAGCTATGGAATATTGTTTGCAGATCATATTGATCTTATTGACTTTTAAAAGCTCTTAACATGCATAAAAGGAGCAAGTCAATCCCAGTTTTCAGCAGAAAATCATCAACAAGTGATCCCAAGGACTTAAAATGGACATAGTTCTGCTAAGAAAACCAAGAATGGTTGCCAACCCACTCTGGGGTAGGTCCTACATACACAGCCACCCTATCTGTTGAAGCCTTCACTTTACTACCATGGAGAAGGATCACAGGCAATCAAAGAATCATCATTTTACCTTTAGATCTTATTTTTGCACCTAAACTTCTTGACAGTGCTTTGCTTCATACATCCATGTGCAACAAAAAGCCAATCTATTCTCAAACCTCCTTCATCCTGTGCTGTTAAACTGACAGGCAATGAGGCAAGACATCATAATGACAACTTCCTTCCACAATCTATGAGCCTCTCTACCTGAAGTTTATTAGGTAAATAATCCTAAAATCCATATAATATGAACTGTCCTTCTGTGTTTTTATTATAATGGAAGTTTCCCCTCTCCTGCTAATAAATACACAGGGCTTATGAAAAACCAAACCTCCAAAGAAAAGACACAAAGTCTGTCCAGCGGCCAGTGACTGGCCACCAGAGGTAGAAGCAGAGGTGCTGTTTGGCTACATGGATAAGTGAAGAAATGAAGGAATAAGTAAGAAAGGCTGATTAACTTCCTCACCCTGCTTCCTCTTTCTCTCCTCCTCTTTCTCTCTGTCATATTCTTCCACAAGCTCAACTCCTCCTCTTCTCTCATCTCTTCCCAACAAGCTTCTGCAGGACTCTGGTAGCCTCACCAGGCAAGAGTCAGAAGTCCCACTAACTTAAGAGATAGAAGAGAATTTAAGTTCACACATTCTAGTCCAACCCCACCTACTATTAACTGTGTGGCGTTGGACAACTTACTCAACCTCTCTGTTTCTCAGTTCCCTCACTTGTAAATCTTTATGAAAACTGAATAAATTAATATATATAAAGCACTATCTATATGCAAAGCCTGGCACAGAGTTCTAGACAGGTGTGAGATATGCCACCCTCACTCCCCATATCCCCCCTTCCTCTACCCCTTAGCTAGGAAAGATCTTGTCACCCCCACCTTTGGGACCAATTATGTCTGAAGTCAGGGTATCATATCAGAGGAGAGCTCAGTGGGGTCCAAATGGCCATCAATTGTCAACTGGGGATAATAACACTTAAAACATCAGGTGAGTATTATGAGAATAATTGTATGGAATGATACACATAAAACACCTGGCATACAATGGATGAATGTTCTTTTTCTTGGTGTGACTGTAGGTGAATCCGGATGCTCTGACATTATGTCGGGCTGTACAATGTGATATTCATCTGTGTTTGTCACTGTGACATCAATCTATAGAGGGGTGGTTACATAGAAACATATTTTAAAGCAAAGGCAAGCTTCACAAGATCAGCCCACAGCCCTCCCTATCAGAGTTCCTTGAGGATCCCTCACGCTTTCGACTATTGCCCACTTAATACACTTCTTGGATGACTCAGGGAGTCTCCCACGCAAGAAGTCCTGGACTGAACTCACGAGCTCTCCCTCAAGGCAGGTCCTGGCTTGGCTACCATCCCAGTCCCTCTAATTCCTCCACCTCCGTGCTTTATTCACACAAAGCCTGCTGATTTCATGTCTTCCGACACTCCCGATTCCATCTACTTCTCCGTCCTCATGGCTATCCACCCCGGTCCATGTCCATCTGCAATCTTATCTGATTCCACCAGTCCACAAAAGCCACACAACACTTCCATTTGACACTGTCACTTCTCAGACTGAAATCCTTCAATGGCTTAAGGTAAGGGCTACGCCCCTTCCCTGCCTGCGCCCTACCTATACCACACAATGTCCAGGCCTTACCCTTTGGATCCCCCACCCCACCCCCCATAACACATGCTCTCTCGCTCTTTGCTCCAGTCATGCAAACTTCCTTTCAAATACACATGCTCCTTTTGCCCCAGGGCCTTTGCACTTGCTCATGAAGCTTCTGCAACAGTTCACTTCTTCATTAGTCAATGAATCCCTACAAAACCTCCAATCTCAGAACCAGGGTCAGAATCCCTTCCCTGACTACCTACCTCCCCTGGTCCTCATCAATCTCTTCTGACACTTTTTAAAACCCGGATGCTTTCCTTCACAGAACCTGCATAAAGTATGTCTGTCTCCCTTACCATCAACTCTTAAAACACCAGAACTTCTGTCTACACTCATCTGATTGTATCTCCAGTGCCTAGAACAGCGCACAGTCCATAGCAGTTATCAACAAATGTTTCCCAGGGATCCAAAAGAAAACAAACAAACAAAAACAGCGAAGACACACTTCCATGTTTCTAGAGATCCAGAGACAAAATATGAGGTTGGGGTTGTCTTTAATATGTAACAGGCTCGGTGTTGAAACAAGCACTGCCTCTTCATTCTCTCTCCAAGAGCAAATCACTTCACAAGACATTTTCCCCACAAATGAGTAGGTTTCCTCTTTTCCAGTCTGGAGAAAGGAATAAATGCACACATAAAGAGTACTAGACACACATACACCCATATAAACAAATTTCAACACCAGCACACACACAGGTTTCTTCCAGCCAGACTCAGCCGTCAGATACGCTAAGAGGAACTCTAAAGAACATTCTCATCAAAACCGGACAACTTGTTCTTTGCCCGTTCTGCTCACTCCGAAGCAGCCTAACATCTGTATGCTAATGACAGACACCTTGGCCGGCTGCTAGAGACAAATCTGTCTTGGTCACTCCCTTTTGCTACAAGGGCACGTTGTCCAACAATCCTCGGGGCTTGTAAAGAACACTACTGTTCAGACAGTACACGGTGCCCCCTCCCAGCCCTAGCCAGCCCCACCCTTCTAGCAAACCACTACTCCCTCCCCCTTCTGCTCTGATCTGAGCCAAACTAGCCGCCTGGTTTGGTACTAAGATTGAGCAAAGACTCAGAAGGTCCCGCGGGTTCCATTATTTCACATGCCCTGGGAGAAGGGCCACCTCCAGGGACAGCTGCTGCAGATCTGAACCCCACTTGCTGCCAGGAAACCTTTCCCACTGAGGACACCCCGGCCAGGTGGCGCAGCTCCAGGTCCAGGGGAGGCACCCCACCCATCTGCTAGAGAGACAAAGATCACCAGAAACAAAGGATACACACACACACATACACACACACACACACACACACCCCAAGTCAAAAGCAGATACCAACACTTGGTGCAATTTCAAGCCAAACAGTCGGCCTGGTGTATCTTTAAATAGATTTTGAAACAAGCCGGGAGGGACAATGATTATGTGATCATGACAGACACTATCTGGGTCTGGAACCCACACTGCCTCCGCCCGCCTCCCACCCGCGCTGCAGTTCCCAGGCGCATTTTGCAGCCTCGGGACACACGCTGCCGCCGCCGGGAGCAGGAGCGCTGCCACTAGTGGAGGCGCGCACCGGAGAAGGAGGCAGGGCGAGGGCGGCCGGGAGTAGGAAATACCAACCTTTAGGATCCCAGTTCACCTGTTTTCTTGGAGTCTCGATTGGAAATTTCATTGCTCCGTTGCCCAGAAGGGAAGGAAAGGAAAAAGCTAATAAAGTCCTCGAGCTTTACACGCCTCTGTACAGCGGTCCAACAAAACAATTTCCAAGGATGGGAGGGGGGTGGTCTCGAACTGGCTCGTGGAAGAACCCCAGAGAAAGCCGAGTGGGAAAATACTGGTTTAGGAGAGAAGGGAAACGGGCTTGGGTGTTTGCACCGGTGCAGGGGTGGCGGGCGGCCGCCCCCGGGGAAAAGGAAAAGTAAGACCCGCCAGGGGCGCACGGAGAGCGAGGCTCGGCGGACCCGAGAGCCGAGCTGCTTCCCAGACGCCGCGCCGGCAGGGCGGGGGCTGAGCCGCCGGGGGGCCGCGCGCGGGAGAAGCCCACCGCAGTGTCACTCCAGCCCCCGAAGGCGTGAGCGCCCGCACTCCCGCACACACACACTCGCCGGGCGCGCGCTCGGGCGGGCACGTCAGCCTCGCTCGGCCCCGCAGAGCGCACACGCCCCACCCCGGCCGCGGCTCCTCGCCCCCGGGCGACGCCCCCCGCTCCCCACCCCGCGAAAGCCATTGGACGTGGGGTGGCGCGGCACCCGGGGCGCGCGCGGCGAAGGCGACCCTCCCCGCAGCGCGCCGCAGACGCCGCGCCAGGGCGGGAGGGCGCGCGGCGGGCGGAGGCGCCCGGCGGGGGAGACGCTCGGCCCGCGCGCCCGGCCCGGGGGCGGCGAGCCGCGGAGGACGGGCCGGCCGGGCGGCGGGGCGCGGCGGCGGGGCGGGGAGCGCGCGGCGGGCGCGCCGCTACTTACTGGCTCGGCCGGCCGGCGGGCGTGGAGGCGCCGCGGCGCGCGCGGTGGAGTTGCTGCCGGAGACACGCTTGGCTGCCTGGAAGGCGCTGCAGGAGGCGGAGAAAGGGCCGCGGCGGCCCCGCCGCAGACCTCGGCCTCGGGGGTGACTCCTGTCCCCGCTCCCACCCTGGGCGCACCCCCTTTTCTCACTTCATTCTTTCAGTCCAGCCCGCGCCCGGTGCTCTCTCCTGCGCCCCGAACCCACGGCCCCAGCGCGCTCCGAGGAGGCCGGGGCCAGCCATGAGCCTTTTGTTCTGGGACCGTTCCGTGGCGGCCGCGCTCTCCCCGCCCGGGGAAGCTCGATCCCCAGGCGCAGCCCGGTCCCTTCCCCAGCTACCTGAGGCCCCGGCTGGGGCTGCTGCTCGGCGGCCCGGGAGGGGGCCGGAGAGAAGCGCTGCGGCCCCGCAGGGAAACGGGGTTGCCAAGACCTGAGGGCTCCGGGAAGCGGCGGCCCGGGGAGTCCAGGGGCCCAGCAGGGGCAGGTGTGAAGGCCCTCAGACATGGTCCCAGAATGAGGTTAGACCTGACTCTGGCCCCCCAACCCCCAGTCTCACGGCTCCCCGCCAGCAGCCGCTGTGGAGACCGGGCCTCAGTCTCCAGAAGAGCCAGGTGGTGCTGAGATGCTCTTGAATGGGCCACTGGAGGTACCCATGTGAATGGTGCTTACCGGTTACTTCCGCTGCCTAACAACGGAGTCTTGCATATAGTAGATGCTGAAGAAATACTTGCTAAATAAAGGCATGAAATGTATGCCCCGGTGTTGGAAAGGAAAGCATTGTCCACTCAACATGCAGCTTGAACCCCTTCCGTGGGCCATCATTGTGCTAGGTGCTGGCATATGCTTGTGAGCAAGATAGACCTAGTCTTCCAGCTTGCTGTCTAGTCCCCTGAGGTCAGGTTAGGTTGTTCCTTGCCTTTATCTAAGGGAGAGTGACTGCCCGCTTGTTTCCAAGCCTGTCTGCTATGGCTCTAACCCCTGCACTAGCAGGCGCTTTCTGAATTGCATGCCACTCTGGGGTACTTTGAGGCTTCTGGAGGATGCTGTCAGCAACATCTTTCTCAACATTCATCCTTCACTGTCTGTCGCATTCAGGTTTTTGAATTCCAGGCAAGATCCACCAAGGTCCACTGCTGTCTGAGGAGGGTTGGCAGGTGCTTTGTCACTAACACTACAGGTGCCATGGGCTAGATCCCTGAGTTCTCTGTAGACCCCCAAAATGGTCCTGATTTGATAGCATTTCCCTAATTCCTCAGCCCTTTTTTGGGACATGGGTGAGTTGCCAGGACCTTCAGAGCCATCTTCTCTGGGATTGTTTCCACACTTTGCTCCCCTCTACTGAAAGTTGAGACCATGCGTGAGACATGAAATGAGATGAACAGGGAATTTCTGCATGTCTAGCTTGCCCCCCCCCGGGACACCGGTGTGTATGTAAATTCTGTTTCCAAACCCCACAGAAGCTGTTTCTATGCTCCTGAGAAAGCCTTTAAGAGCCTCATTCACCCCTCCTCACTGCTCACAGACAGGAGGGCTCCAGCCCAGTCACTGCAATGCAACTGCCTGCATGTATTGCCTGCATCAGCGCCAGAGAGAGGTGTCCACAGAGAAAGATTCCCTCCTGAATCTTCTGAGACTAGAGAAGCAAAACTGACATTTATCAAATACCCCTCATGTTCTCACTTCACTCATCTTCCCTGCATCACTTTGAAGAACACTTAACTGGCCTCATTTTACAGATGAGAAGATCAAGGCTCAGAGAGGTAAAGAACCAGTCCAAGGTCACAACACAGAGATTCTTCCCCAAGTGAGTTCATTGGGTCCCTGGACCCATAAATCTGACCCTGCAGCTATCATATGGCTTCTTATGGGTAATGAAGCCAAAGACTCCAACGACTCCTCTGCAAAATGACTTGGACTATCCTGGTGTCCTGGGATCTAGTCCACCGTTAGGAGCAAAATCCCGGGGCACAAAACACTCAGACTTAGGATGCATCATTTGGCCACTCAACAAACATATGTTGAGCCTCCCCTTCTGTTGTAGGTTTTCATCAGAAGTTGTTTTGGCTCCCCATAGAGAGCCTTTCCCAAAGAAGCTTTGACCAGACATTTGCTTGGGAGCTGGGGGGATTGGGCTGGACCTGGGGTCTAGGGTTCCCTACCTCCCTGGAAGGAGGGAACAGGCTCTGGGGTCTAGAGTTCCTGACATGGGTTAAAGACTTACACTAATCACTAGCCCTTAGGATCTTCTCTAAGTTAAATCACTGTCCCCCCTCTTTTTTTCTCCCCCCCCCCAACCTCTGGGGCTTTTTCTCACTTCCACGTTCATTCCCCCTTCTCAGAATATGGACAAAGACAAGTTTAGGGGCGTAGGGGAGGAACCCACCGAAAATGAATGAATGGATTGGTTTTCCCGGCTCCCCTCCCCTAGCGCCTGAAATCAAAGCTCCTGAGCTGCCTGATTTGGCAGGGACTGCCTGGTGGAAGGGGTTGGGGGGCCGGGGAAGAGCGAGCCCCCTCCCAAGGAAAACAACGGAATAGATTAACCCTTTGTGCTCCTGCAATCCCCTTTCATCCTTTTCAATTCTACCTCTTCTTAAGACAGACTCGATTCCACTTACCGCAGGAAGGAAGAAATAAGTGGTCTGTGTCGAGAAAAAACATCCAAAAAAGATGCCGCGCCAAGCGGTACCCTCTTGCTCTGCGCCGCGGCAACTTCCATGGCTATTGCTGCGGGCGGGTGAAGTCTGGTGGAAAGAGACCGCCTCGAGCTCCTGCGGCTGCAAAACAAAGCATCACGGCTCCAAGTCTCCCGGCGCGCGCCGTGCCCCGCCAGCTGCCCGGGGCTGGGGCGGCCGCGTCCGGGGCGCATTCGGTGGGAGGCGGCACCGTGCCTGGCCCGGGAAGCGCGGCTGCGGGGCGCCCGGGTCTCCGCGGCTCAGAACCTGCAATCGCTGCCGCACCGCTTGAATGAGCGCCGTGTGGCCCGGCGCGGGAGGGCTAGGGGAGCCGGAGAACCCCAGTCATCGCCAGCGTGGAAGTTTGGCGTGAGTTGACGGCTCCCCTGCCCCCTCCCCGCGCCGCAGCCCGGGATGGGTGTGAGGCCGGAGAGGGGGCTGCAGCCGCGTGGGGAGGCTCGGCGTGGCTGGCGATGAACAGCTCAGCTGGAGGAGAGTTGAACACGGGTGCCAGGGTGAGGCAGAAGAATGTCTGGGACAGCGAATCGCTGGGATGATGAAGCAGCTTGGAAAATCCTGCTTAGAGCTGGTTTGGCAAACAGAATGAGGAGGACAGATCTGGTTCGAGTCCACGTTGAATTCAGGGCTAGCAGAATGAATTCGTTCATTTGCCTTAGAATGTTTTCCTTTGGCTTCATCGTTCTGCCCTGACGTCCCGTGGAAAAAATCCCAATCGTCCAAGATCTTACCCACCCCGAAGATTTCCTCCAAGTCCCATTCTCAAAAGAACTGCAGAGAGATGTCCACATCATTTTGGGAAGCTACCCCCCAACCCCCATGCTCTGCGGATGCCCACTCAGTGGTGAAACCGATAGGGTTATGCGTTCAAGTTAAACGTCTCCTACCAAAAATGCGTCCTGTTCCTCAGTGAGATTTTCACCTTGTTATCAGCATTTTTCACTCCTACTTTTGTCTTCATGTCCCAACCAGCATCTGCAAAAACACACCCTTAAGTATATGTTACTTTAATCTTGGGCTCTGCTTTTGGCTTGGAAAAGGAAAAGTTGCTAAAAGGCAGAGAGTGTCATATATTCTACTACTCAGTAACTAACTCCATGTGCGTAAATCCTGCAGATTTATTTTGGTGACTCAGACCTCTGATTGGGGATTAATGAAGACACACTAGGAACTCCAAAGAAGTTGCAATGACAGTGTCAGGCTGGTGAACTTGCTTCATATTCAGAGGAACTGAATCCTCTTCCCTTCTAAGTTTCTCAATTAAACAAACTTTGTTAAGATATGTTGAATCAATGTATTTGTTTCAGGTGTGCAATGTAATGATTTGATAATTGTATAGATTGTGAAATTACACCACAATAAATTTAGTTAACATCCATCACCACACATACTATTTTTTTTCTTGTGATCTACTCTTAGCCACTTCAAATGTGAGATACAGTATCAATAACTATGGCCACTGTGCTGTACAGTACGTTGCCCCACACTCCCAACCCCCCACCCCATCTATGAGGCAATGTGCCAAATATTGTACCTGAAGTATGCAGAGCTATAACTTGTTTTTAAAAAAACAGGTTTCAAAGTAATTCCTTCTCCCTGGGTTACTACCAAAACATAATTCCAGGTGATTTTTTAAGAGGTGGAGCTGATTTTTTTTTTTTCACTTTTCCCTCAATGTTTTATTTTGCAAATGCTCAAGCACTCACAAAAGTTTGTTATTTGGTTAAAAACCATGATCAAATCAAAGACTGCATTTGGTTGTTATTTCTATTTAGTGTATCTTTATTCTAGGAAATTCCATTCATAACATTGATTTTTTTAAGCCCAAATTCATTTGCTTTCTGGCAATGATTAATGTCATGATGTAATTAGAGATGAGTTGAGTCAATGGGAAAATTTTCCTGACCACAGCA